TTAAACCATCTTTCCAAACAGCCTCCGTGTTTCCAGTGTCTTTTTCCCCACTTGGAACTGAACCCAGACGGATAATTCTTCCAACACTTGAAAGGCTTGTCTTTCGAGATGAGGGCTGCCCAGATTCCTAACCCTATTTTTTCGGGATCTCTGTTCACAGAGCTGGAAGAAATTCCACAAATCCCTAAATGTCTATTGAGATTCTCAGTCATTCAGGTCATGGCTGTCCCAAAGGTGTTTTTTCAAGAGGCAACTGGACTTTTTGGTTTTTCTCTAAGAAGCTTCTTCAGCTCTGACTGTATGTTTCGGTCAGAGATGAAGAAACTTCTTGGATGAGAAGTGAAACATCTTCAAAGAAAAACCAGAAAGTGCAGTTGCCTCTTGAAAAAGAAACTTTGGGTCATCCACCAATCCCTACAAATCAATTTTAAAATCTAAATATCCTGATAATGGCTGATACAATCTTTCTTGAGTACCCCCTTAAAAAAAATGAAGATGCCTTCCTGCCATTAAATCCCAACTGTAACATTCAGATGTCAGTATTTGTTTTAAAAAAAGTTTTTAGGATTTGCTGATGATAAGAAGTATTGTGGAAGGAAGTACCAGCCTATTCGGGTAAACATTCCTTCCAGAATGTCAGGGACTCTCCTAATTAAATAACAAAAGGTCCTTTCCACAAAGCCATTGCTACCTCCCTGTGCAATGTTAAAAAAGTGGAAACAGCAAACTCAGCCAGCTGAGCACACATTGTTTTTAAAATAACTGCAGTAATGTATTCTTCCTTTGTCCATTTCAAACTAATAGCTTTCTGAAAGACAGAGTTTTATTTGGGCTTGATGTGTTGTTACATGTATTCTACCTTTATGTGGTAAAACAAACTAGGCTTAAATTTGTGAATCCAGCTAAAAGGAAGCACCTAAAGGATGTAACTTTGAAAACAGATCTGTCGAAGTGGGTGATGTGTTTGGTATTTTAGAAACCATTCACTTTCTCTGCTGAATGATTTCGGTCTATCTGTTCGGCCTATCTGGAAATCCTATACACTACAGAAGATATGCAGCCCTTAGCCAAATTTATGGGCTATTTTCTATATCAATATTTTAAATCCCTTTTTCCAAGATGGAATACAGCAAAACCGGCTTACAAAGTGTAATTTTACAGGTGAAAAAAGTTTATTTTGAACTTGGGTGAAGCCTGTAGAACAAAACAGAGCTAGATGGGTTTATTGATTATCTGTCTATCTGCAGCAGGAGGTGGTTGAGAAGCAGGATCCCACTGCTGTCTCTTGAGTGATGAGCTCCATTTCCAGGCCTCATTTTATTATGTAGGTTCTTCTAATTAATATATGGTAGCTAATTGATAGTGCCTTAGTTTTGTTGATTTATTCTTCTGTTCCCTCCTGGAGCCCTCATGCAAAGGCATGAGTCTTTGCCTCATGTGAAATAATTGCTTTATTATTACTGCTTTGATATAAGTTATTCTGGGGAAAAAAATTTAAGATAAAGAGCAGGATAATATGCTTTTAAAAAATAAAGCCATCAGCTAATCTAATAAGACTTGTAACTCGAGCATGCTTGGGAAAATTCAATAGAAATAGTGTACTATAAACTATTTAAACTCTCCTTTTTTCTCAAGGATTCTCAGTAAAAGGTAATGGCACCAGTCTGGCTGTTCATCTTGACTCCTCTAGCCTGCCCAGATAGAGAGATCTGTTATTTCACCTTCTTGTTCTTTAACTAATTATGCAGTCCTGCATCCAGAACAAGGGGAAAGATTGAAATGAGCTAAATAAAACTAACAAAGCCAAATTTTAATTACAAAAAATATTTGGTTGTGAATAGAGTGCTATAAGAAAAACAAGAGAAGTCAGAATCCCCCCCCAAAAAAATCACTTAAATTGGCTACCCCCCCCCCCCCCAATAAGATTTTAGGTTTCACCGAAGAAAGGATGATTTGAGAGTGATCATTTGGGATCCTCCTGTTTGGAAGTCCATGGACGGGCCTTTGTCATCTTCTTGCTATTTTACCCTATCAATATTTGGTTGATAATCCTCAGGTTCCGCCTAGTCCAACAGTGCCTCTAAAAGAAGCTGGTAAATTGATCCTATGCTAACAGGCCTGAAAATATGGATTTGTGTTTCTTTCCCAGAAAAGCATCTCCCATATAATTTTTATAAGAGAGAATGGACTCTCATTCTCCCATAGTTTCATCATTCCAACCAGGTTCATTAGGAAGGTGCGTTTAATCCCTGGGCCATTCCTGATTTATATGCTAGTCACAATGCATCAGAAAAGAACTACTGTCCTTGACTGGACAAAGTCACAATCAGTCTCTCTAAAGAGTCTGACTTTTTAAAAATCCCCTTATTCAACTAGGCTGGGAAGAAGAGCTTAAAGGGGTGGGGGGGAGAGATAAGGAAGGACCTTCCTACCAGCAACCAACCAAAGTCTCAAAATTCTCTTTCCCACCCTCCTCTTGGCAATGAATATGTGCTTCATTCAAGGAGATAATTAGTTAATTCCTTAGTTGATTAGTTTGTGATTGCTTCATTCCCTTGCTTTCCCTGTAGTTCTCTTTTCCCAATAAACTCTTTTGAATCTTTAGATATTTGACTTCCATTGTTTCAAAAAGTGAATTTATTACACTGTTCTCCCGATGCAAGTTATCTCCTGGGTTTCATCACCTTCCTTTTGATTTTCCTAAGGCTCATCTAAAGGCAGAAGCCTATGGAAGGGCTAAGAAAAAGGTCAGGAAGTTCAACTGGTCCGATGGCTGCTATAGTAATTATTTTTTTTTTTTTTGCTGAATATCCCTTGGGAATAGATGTCAGACAGAAAGGTTTGAAATTATCTTCCTCCTGGGTTGAAACACCACCAGTGGGGATCACCAAGCCCACCAAACTCCTTGCAAAACTGCATTTGCTATCCTTTCAATTTTTTTGCTGAAGCAGCAACTGAGTTGGAGATTAACTGAGGACTGATACTTAAGACCCCTCCCCACAACCCAAGGAATGGCACCCTGGGAATAGGGGCACAGTGCAATGGTCGAGGGGTCTGTATTCAAATTCTGAAAATATAAAGCTTTCCTTATTTGTGTTTTATATAAATGTTATTTGTCCTTTCTGCCTTGGGATTAGTGGTAAAAACATTTCATTTTCAAAAAGGAAGTAAAACAGCTTCAGTATATTCTAATTAGTTGTCCTGACCATGTACAGAATTAAACATATAGATTAGTTACTTCTTCGAAGAAGAAATATATTTTGCAAGATAATTATGATATTAGGCCAAGGCTGACAAATATGATTTTAAAAGACAAATCAGATTACAAAACAGAATACTTATTGGAAGGGCAAAATTGATCTAGGAAGCAATTAATTTGATATGTGTGTGTGTGTGTGTGTAGTCTTCAATTAAAATTAAGAAATACCAAAAAAGTTGCTTTAAACCTGCAACCAATTTGACTAAATTGCTGTCTTTACATTTATGTAGTTTGCTAGTACTCAGGCTACAAAATAAAGTGGAACATCCTTATAACTAAATTAACTGAAGAGCATAGAGGCAAGTTTCTTCCCTTCATCAAAAAATCCGCAAGACAGCCAGTTTACTTGAAAATCAGTCAAAAAGATAAAAAGTCTCGGAATACTGAGGCTGACCTGATATTCATACTCATATTCTTCTTTTAAATCTTGCTTGCACAATTAGCTTTTGAATAAAGTATCCATTATCCATATATGATGCCCATATGCCTAGCACTTTGGAATAATAAACAGAACGTCAACCCTTTTCACTCACATTAGCAATCATCTGTGAAATTTAACTACTGCTTTGTAAAAATCAACTAGCCTTTTATTTAACAGTGCTTTAGAAACTATCAATTCTAAACTTGGAATCAGTGTGATTGCTCAATAAATAATCTGGATAATTTAACTCTGTATTTTAATAAGTCTTTATTAAATCTTCAATGAGAAGTGTTTCGTTTGTAAAAAAAAATAGTACATTGAAAGCTTTGATACACAGAGATTTGTACTTTTCTAAATCTTTTTTTATTGTATAAATAATAAAGTGTCCCATCATTGCTCATGAAAAAAATGCCGACTTCTGGTGAGACATAGTATCAAGAGGATCCATAATTCCTTCTAGGTCTAAGGCAGGGAATTGCACTTGTGTTTCAAACCATCTGGCTACGGTGAGGAGCTGCAGCTCATGAAAAGCACGGCCAATAAATTGCAATGCAATCGGCAAGCCCTTTCCTGAGAGGGCTGAAGGAACACTTACAGCTGGCAACCCTGAAAGACAAACAAACATTTCTTTCTTTGCATTGTCTGATAAGGAACATACAGTACAACAGAAAAACTAAAGCAAAAATTATCTCTTTCTCTTAAAGGCAAATATTTAATTTAGTTTTGTAGCTTTTCAAGCTGTATTTAATTAAGATTAAAAAACCCAACCTTCATTTCTTCTTAAAACATTTCTTTTATAAGCATTGATAACTACTTATTATTACATAATATCTAAACTAAATTGTATATCTCTAGTGTCTTAGAATAAATATGGATGGTTGATGCAAATTGTCCTTTAATGGGACAAGAGCAAGGTTTCATCATTCTGAGGTTCAAATATTCTTCCTAACTATTCATCATGATAGCTTCAGATTAAAGTTCCAAATATACTGAATTTAATTTCTCACTCATTATGCACTAACTGCTGCTTTGATAAACTAATATGAAAAATCACTTGAAAATGATTTGGGTTTTTTCATGTGGGTTTCATCCCAACAAATTATCCCTTTCCTAAATGGGTAAATTCAGCAACCACATATTTATTTTCTCATACTTGTTAATTTAGAAAATTGCATACAAACATACTCAAAGACACAATTGATCAAGCTTTGGCAGAGTACTGCTGTAACCAAACTTCAGGAGTTGTTCTTGTTACAATTACATATACTTTCAAAACTCCTCATGACATAAACATCACTACATATTTCCTCCTTCTTGTTTTGGATTTTTTTTTCTGATCAAGATTATCTGAAAAAAATCAAATGTAATTTTGCAAATTTTCAGTTGACATACTATAGGGATTTACTCAAATTTGGACAGAGTGTGGATTAGCAATATTTTCAATAGCTACAAGTAGAAGATTGCAGTATCAAGTCAGCCAAGGTTAATCTCATCTGACTGTCCATTGGAAGTCTGACTTGGTGCCTGGTTTTTGTCGTATTTAACGTTTTAATGTGTTTAGTTTTTTCAGTGTTAATATGGTTTTTTTGTTTTGTTTTAACTTTTCATTGGGAAATGCCCAGAACTGGCTAGAAAATGGGTGACTACACAGATATTTTAAGTAAATAAATAAAAATAAATATTGTATTGTCACTTAGTGTTATGATGGGAAACTCTACAGTGAATATGTTTTGTAAGGGACCAGATTTTCCTGAAGGTTGGAAGCTTTTACCTATTGATTTAAACAATTGCTGCCTGGTTTTAATTCACAAAACAAAGAATGTCTACAATAAAAACTTCCACTTTTTTTACCGGCCATGTTGGCAGCCTGAGTGAAGAGATCATCCTGTGTGCTGCGAGTCCTATTGTCTTCCTTGATGAATTCTTGATACAACATAGCCTGATTCAAGGTAGTTGGGGTGAGTAGTACATCCACACCAGAATGGAAGAGTTTTGCAAAATCAGTGGCTATGAGTCTTCTTACTTTCTGAGCTTTGATGAAATAATTCTCATAATTTCTAAAGGGGAAGGGAGGAAGAAACCCAAAATATACACTGAACCATTATTCTAGTTTTCCAGCTGGCTAGGCAATTGGTGGACGGCTATACTTTGAAGCAGGGCACTGGTATTTCTAAAACCATTACAAAAACAAAATCATGGGCCAACACTTCGTGATACTGGCCTCAACCTGTCAATAGGACAGTATCTGTTTTAACACAGTCTGAAAAGTGAAGTTTATTGCTAAAGATAGACATAAAATGCTGTAACAAGCACTCACAATTCAACAATGCGTCAACTGCAGAGGTAAGTAACATTTTACTGCTACTTGATATATAGCTCTGAACTTTAACACGTGTCTTTCAGCGATGCTACCACGTATTCTGTATCTTTCCAGATATCTAACAGTCTTTTTCTCCTTGAACCCTCTCCATACTAGTGGACCCTAGATACTTTCATATTGCAGTTTCCCAAACTAACTATTCTAATTATTGGGATACCCGCCGATATTTGACTCTTGAACTTATTATCAGGCCATCTCTAAACACCTAGCATCACCCATCCATGCCACTGAGCCTTCAGCTCCAGCAATGATCACTATTGCCTCTGCTTACTAATGATTCTGAAAGTTTATTTTTATACGCCCTATCTTTAACCACCCATCTCTCTCAGAGTTTCAGTTTATTAACAACTGGGGTGCTTCAAGTTCTTTATTAAAAGAATGGGTGAACTTTGGGGATTAGGAGCTATACGTGCCCCTGATTTAAAGATATAAAATAACTTTTTGAATATAAACTTTAACACCAGTGGAAGTTTCCTTTTATTCAGTCATCTTAATGGGGCTGCAAAGGGAGGATAGTAAGCAAGTCTTTGCACATATTGGGAGTTCCCTTAACAAATAAAATAAATTCTTGACCTACTGGATTATGCATAACTTTAAGATACAGGTAGTCCTTGATTTACAATCTTTTGTTTAGTGACCATTCAAAATTACAGTGGCAGTGACAAAAGTGTCGTATCATTGTTTTTCACACTTATGACCATTGCAGCATTGCCATGGTTACGTAATCAAAATTTTGACAAGATGAAAAAATCTTGTACCTTGTGGTACTTGTGGTTTGAATTGAACAACAAGTAAAACATCGGTTTTGTAACATTGAGCTTTAAAATGTGTGAAACGTACTGTTTTAGCAAGAAGTAGTTCCCTGATAGAATTCTTCCCCTTACAACATCATTAAAACCTTCTCGGCGTGTGGCTGCAATCAAAGCTTCTGTGGACTGCTCAGCACTGCTGCGATGCCCTAAAAGGAGAAGAAGCAATCAGCAGTTGACAAATATATCCCCAAAACATTCAAAGCTGATTAAATTACACCAGGAGTGTCAAACTGGCGGCCTATGGGCCGGATGTGTCACACACAGGCCATGCCTACCTCAGCTCCGCAAAGGGAAAAAAAATGTCACGATATGTCACATGACATCAATGAGATGTGGTAAGTTTGACACCCGTGAACTACACAATCCCATTCAGCATAAAAAGCTATCAAACTGACTTATTGTTGCTAAACCCGTTACATTCCATTTATACATCAGCTCAAACGGGGTGGGCTTCAAAAATTTTAGCAATGGGTTCTCTGCCCAGTTGCTGGGTGCGTGTGGCCATGGTGGGTGTAATCGAATTGGCCTCTTGCACCACGGTGGGGTGGTGGTGTTTTTTTCCCTCCCCAGGTTCCAGAGGTTTTTCTCGAGCCTCCGGGAGGGTGAAAAGGGACTACCCAGGCTCCGGAAGCTCTCTGGAAGCCGGAAACAGGCCCATTACCTACCTTCCCAAACTTCCGTGAGGCCCATTTTTTGCCCTCCCTGAGCCTCTGAGCACGTCCTACACTTACCTGCATCCAAAACAGACCGCGTGGGGACTCCTGGGAGGGGAGGGGTGGGTGGGTGGGGCCAGCCAGGAATGGGATTTGGGGGTTCTCCAAACTGCACAGAATCTTAGCTAGGGGCTCTCCCGAACTCATGCAAACTTCCAGCAGCCTACCCCGAGCCCAAAAGCTAAACATTTTACATGGGTTTTAACAGTTGACACCTGATCTAGCAGTTAGAAGGACTGAGCTGAACCTTCTTCACCAAATATTTCTTGCACAAAAAGGATGGTACACAAAGAGATGGAAATCCTCCCCAAAGATGACTAAATGTGACCTTTTTATGTCTCTTTTTCCTGATTCTTGCTGAAGAAGGAAAATGAGAGAGAGAGAGAGAGCTAAAATTAAGTGCAGTTTCCCATTGATACCTTACCTAGAATACTAGGGTTAATACAGTATATTGAAACAAGGCAAGATTTACATGCCAACATTAAACCAAGATTTGAAAACAAGGCTTGCCTGGAACTTTGGTTCCTACTTTATTTTTCCACAAAGATAAAAAGATACATGAAATAAATGATCAAGAAATAGGCTTCATCGTACCTTCGTTTAATCCAGATGTAATAATCCAATTAAATTTTCTATATCCCTATTCAATAGTGCAAATTATGAAAACTTCTCAAATAATTCTATACAGAGTAGAAAAGAGCTCTACATATACTGGGGCTCCATATTTTATCATATTACAATCACTGTGGATTTGGTAAACATTAAGCGAGCAAGGGCCTAGTTCCTTCCCTTCAATACTGCCATCTAATGGAGAAGCTAGGAAGTATGCCTTTTCTGTGGCAGCCCCTGCCAATGGAGCACTCTGCCCCGAGGTTCATAGCCTCTATCCTCCCAGCCTTCCATAAGACTGGCTTTTCCCCCAAGCACTGGGATAAGATTGGATAATTGCACATTAGAAGTTGATTTGGCATCAGGTTTTTGTTGTTTTTAATGGTATAATATGTTTAGTTTTATAGTTCAATATGGTTTTGTATGTTGTTTTAACTTGTGATTGCAAGCCACCCAGAGTTGGTTATAATGTTTTAGATAAATAGCAATAGCACTTAGACTTATATACTGCTTCATAGTGCTTTACAGCCCTCTCTAAGTGGTTTACAGAGTCAGCATATTGCTCCAACCAATTTGGGTCCTCATTTTACCCACTTCGGAAGGATGGAAGGCTGAGTCAACCTTGAGCCGGTGAGAACAGAACTGTTGAACTATTGGCAGCCAGCAGTCAGTAGAAGTAACCTGCAGTATTGCATTCTAACCACTGTGCAACTGTGGCTCATAAATAAATTTAGAATGAAGTATTTCCAAAATTAGCCTAGCATAAGGCATTAAGCAAACAATGGCTCTGCAACATCAGTTGTGCAATGCAGTGTTTTATACATTGAAATAAATATTTTGAATTCAAGCAATATGTCCTAGCTTTGTCGTTCTTCTCTTCAATCAAATGCTGGGCACAAAAAATTAATGGTCAAGATGTTGAATGGACAATATCGATGCTCAGAGAACTTAATAAGCACAAGGGAAAATGTTATCAAGCAGGAATGATTCAGAATTGCATAGTTTCAGTAACACTGTATTTATTTTTCAGTTAGATTTGAGTACAGGACACAGTTGAGTTTAAGACTGTATTTTTGTTGTAATCAAATCATTCCTCAAAGGACAAACCTGAGACAATATTTCCAAAATATTTCCAAAACATAATAAAGTTATTTCCACCATTCATCAAGCCTCAACTCAATTCAACGAGACTTTTCTTATTATAAAAAAGCTATGGCACAGATTTGGTCACCTATAATTAAACAATTATTTCATTACTGGTTCAGAGTTGGCTCACTCTTTATAAGTTGTTTGTTATTCTGGAAAATATTAGTGGATCCTCATGTATTTAATTATCCTTATTCTATGAGATATGATTCATAGACAGGTGTACATAAAAAGCTCATTTTTTTTTCATGCAGGTTGATGAATTTTAAAATATTTGGCTTTGACTTTGAATGCAAAATCTTCTATTCCAAAAGTGCTTTTTCAAGAGGTAACTGGATTTTCTTGTTTTTTCTTTTGAAGACTTCTTCAAAATCTTCCATTGCTGCAGTTTTCTACAGTTAGCAGGGCCTAACTAGATTATCCATCCAGGTCTAAATATTTTCTACATCTATATCTAAGTGAGATACTCTAAGAAAGGTTAATGTAGAACATTTCTTCTCTAATCCTAACGTATTCTGGTACTGGTTTTCTCTAATTTCTGAGGCCATTATTTCCAATTATGTTTTTCACTGCTAGGTACCAAATTATTAACAAATCCACAATCAGAATTAGAATTATTTTTATACCAGGGTCACTCAAAACAAAAAGATTGCAGTATAACTTCCTGGAATGTCTCAGAACATTACTCATATTCATAAAACATTAAATCCATTATTCCTGTTGTTATCTTAAACTTTAGTATAAGATTAGAGAGATATGCCAGATACCAGATTCCTCCTGCTAAAATGTTTTACTTCCTGTATCATCAACCAACAATATATTTTTATTTATTGACTCTGACTAATACTCAATCCTGCATGGCATAGTTTGCCCTTGCCTTCTTTGTAGGGTTAAAGGGAGAGTGGCTGGTCCAAGGTCACTCAACTGGTAGGCCAAAGGAAGTCTGGAACTTGGATTTCTGCACATAGTCCTTTAATTACAAGACAAAACTGGTTCTCTCTCACATACCCATCCTAAGCCATGATATAACTGATTTGACTTTGCTTTACCTAGTTGTGTGTAACTGGCTTTTTTTTTTTTTTTACAAATAACAGTATAGGCTTTACACATTGTGTGAATGCAACTCTTGTCACATTGCTGTAGCTGGCAAGCTTCCTTAGGTTTAGGCAGATGAACAAGTTATTATAAGAATGAAGGCTACTTAGAAGTCTTATTTTATAGGGCCCCTTATGAATTGCCAAATGAATTGTCAATTAAAGAACCAACATTCTTAATAATATATTATCTTTTGTTATTAAGATTTTTACTACATAGAGTTTGGTTGCAAATACACTAAATGTGAATATTTAAGAGACGACTTAATATTCAGCAGTGAGAAGGCTTACCATACTCCAGACCATCAAATCGAGCCATATTAGAAGCTACCTCTGCTGCACATAACACATGGTAACAGACAATGGAATAGGAAGTATGGGGCAGGCTCACTTCCATCACTTTAGCTCCAGCCCTCTCAAAGAGGTCAGCTGCCTTGGACCACATGGCTAGAGTCTCATCAGATAATCCTGCAGTATGGTATTCCTGGAAAAGGGAGGGAGGGAGGGAAGGAGGGAGGAGAAAGCAGAATGTTATAAACCAGGGGTTGCCAACCTTTTGGACCTCAGGGACCACCAAACTCATAATTTTATATCCCAGGGACCACTAACTGGTTCTGTGGGCATGGCCTAATTTGTAGGTGTGCCTTGGTGGTCAGGTGACTGGCTGGGCATGGCTTGTATGTAAATATTATAAATATTTATATAAATATTGATTTTTTTAATAAAAAAGAGCAATTTTTACCCAAAATCAGGCAAAGCAGGCAGGCAGATTGAATTGCTCACAGAATCACAGATTCATTCAGAGATCTATCTTATCTGCCATCGGCTAGCTCAGTCTGTCACATAAAATTTGCTTGCAAGCAAACTCATAAAATTTGCTAGCAAGCAAACTCACAAAATTAACTCACAACACACCATGTATTTAAATATTGAATTTTTTATAAAAAAAGAGCAACTTTTACCCAAAATCAGGCAAAGCAGGCAGATTGAGTTGCTCACAGAATCACAGATTCATTCAGAGATCTATCTATCTGCCATTGGCTAGCTCAGTCTGTCACATAAAATTTGCTAACAAGCAAACTCACAAAATTAACTCACAACACACCATGTATGTAAATATTTATTTTTTTATTTAAAAAGAGCAACTTTTACCCAGATCAGGCAAAGCAGACAGACAGATTGAGTTGCTCACAGAATCACAGCTTCATTCAGTGATCTATCTATCTGCCATCGGCTAGCTCAGTCTGTCACATAAAATTTGCTTGCCATGAGTGTGTACTGAATAATAGAATCTTCAGTCCTAAGGGAAGTTCGGCTGTGCTTAAAAGCAGAGCCGAAGATCTAAAGATGAGCTAGAAAGTAAGAAATCCAACAATTTCCTGCTTTCTAGCTAATCTAAATCTCCCGGCACAGCAGAACAGCTGTTGGTTGAAAAAAAAAAAAAAAAGGAAAAATAGCAATTTAGCAGGCAAGTTTGCTGGGTAAGGAGTGAGTGGGCAGGGTCGGTTCCTGCGGGCCATGTGGGTGGTGCAGCCTTGTGTTTCTGCGCAGCCTGGATTAATTGCTTTGGGGGGGGGTGCTCTGGTGGTGAGATTTCTCTGCGGTCCACCAAAATTTTCTCATGGCCCACCAGTGGGCTGTGGCCCACTGGTTGGCGACCGCTGTTATAAACAACCAGCCACATTTCATAGGGTTCATCTGATCTGAAAATGTCAAAAATACTCAAGTGAATTGTGGGATGACAATGAAAGGTCCTGTGTTTGAGAGTGAAATTTCTCTCTGGATTATACCTTATTTCTAATTCTGTACAGGTAGTCCTCAACTTACGACCACAATTGGACCCAAAATTTGTGTTGTTAAGTGAAACATTTGCTAAGTGAGTTTTGCCCTATTTTACCACCTTTCTTACCACTGTTGTTAAGTGAATCACTGCAGTGGATAAATTAGTAACATGATTGTTAAGTGAAACTGGCTTCCCCATTTACTTTGCTTGTCAGAAGGTCACAAAAGGGATTCACATGACCACGGGACACATAGCAACAGTCAGAAGTATGAACCAGTTGCCCAACCATTTTGTTCTCATGATCATGGGGCTACTACAAAAGTCGTAAGTGTGAAAAACAGTCATAAGTCACCTTTTCAGTGCTGTGGTAATTTTGAACGGTCACTAAATGAACTGTTATAAGTTGAGGATTACCTGTATTAGGGATAGTCTCTATACAGGGCAGCCAAGATGGCTGTGAATCTGATATTAAATTGCAGCCCATCTCAGAGTCAACTTACATTTTGGAAAATCCTGGGATAACAAGGGCTTTTGCTCAGGGAACAAGAATGATATTAACTAATAT